AGCACCACCTGCCCCATCCAGATGATCTGCTTGCTCTCTCTCTCTCTCACACACACACACACACACACACACACACACACACACACACACACACACAGAGTCCTTTCTCTTCTACTCTGCCATCCTGCTATATTGGTGCAGTGCTACTTGAATTGAGCTACTGTCTATTCCAGTACTTTCAGGGTTTTGATCACTTGTACACATTGTTTGCTCTTAGAACAATGAAACAACAGTCATAACAGTTTCCCCTTTTCATGGTAGCAAATGAACCAGGAGCTAAGTAGTAAGCTGTTCAGACACAGATCTGGACCCTGATGTTTCTTTTCCAGGTTTCTATATCTTGTTTGTTTGTTCAACTGATCTAGGAGCTCTGTGAAGCCAAGCAGCTTTCACTGTTCTGAGATCTTCTAAGTGAAAACCTTTGTAGGGAATCTCAACCGTATCTCCCACGGCCTCTCATGCACAGTGACTCTGGGCTGGCCACATAGGAGTACCAAAACCTTCCCAATGGAATGCTCAAACCCTTGCTTTTCTCCCTGGAGTATGATGGTCTTCTAACCTAAACGCATCATCCGGATTCCACACAGGCCCTATTGAAGCCAGGAGGATATAAGAAACTAGAGAGTAATTTCTTCTGGCTCCACAGAGCCTCAAAGAACCCCAGTGAGGGCAGCCTCTCAAGGTTAAGAAAGGTCCAGACCACTACCAATGTCTAAGACTGCCAGCACACTGGAAGTGGGAATGTGAAAACATGATTTCAAAATGGGGTAAGCTATTTTAAATATTTATGTTTCAAGAACTAATATCTGAAGCAATGCATTTTAAAAATTGTACCTCTCATATCAAATGCTCAAGATTTTCAAATATTCATTCAAAATTCCCCATTGGCCTGCTGTATAATGAATATATTCTTAGATTCTCCTCCTGTGTTCCTGTGTCTGTGCAGCCTAATTTAGAGATGATCTCAAAAGTCTGGACCTGAAGTCCTTGAATGCAAGTGAGAACAAGGTCACTTGGCCCTCCTCACACCCTCTCAGGAAATATGAGCCCGTACTCTGAGAAAATGAATGTACGGCACCTACATCATCACCCAAACACATAAAGTACCAACTTCAACGGTAATTAGCTCTTGTTCCCATAACCCTACAAAACAAATATGTAAATCAAGCACCTTAAGTTTTGTGTTTAAACATACAAGTCCCAAGGTGATCTCTCCATCCAGTCACTTCTAATAATCATTGCTGTTAAATGTGAAGTTGATTGTACCACTTGTTTCACAGCTGTTTACCTATGTTTGTCCGTTGTTTTCACAAGCAACGTTGAGAATTTAATTCCAAAGCAGAAATTCTTAACCTGGGATTATAAACCCATGCAGCAGTGGTTCTCAACCACTATTGAGTTACATATCAGATATTTACATTACAATTCATAACAATAGCAAAATTACAGTTATGAGACAGCAACAAAATAATTTTATGGTTGGGGTCACCACAATGTGAAGAACTGTGTTAAGGGGCCTTCTTTAACATGAGGAATCACAGCACTAGGAAGGCTGAGAACCACTGCCCTAGGGGGATTAAGAATGTCATAAAATTCAACCCAAAATTGAGTATTTGTGCATGATTCTAGCTTCTCCTTAGCACGGTATCAAAAGCACTCATAAAATTTTCAAAAGTGCCCACAGTCCCCAGATCAGTGGTAATCTATGCAGACAACCGTGGTGTACTTTGGCCACCCTTGGCTGTGCATACAACCAGTCTCTCAGGACACCAAAGTGGTGTATGATAAAGTGTGAGCCAAGAGTCATCCAAGGAGGAGGTGCATGCAATCTGCTTGGCCACCATGTTCGATTCCTGGGGCTACCTTAACAAATTGCTCAAACCAGAGAGCTTCAAACCACAGAAACGTGACTCCCAGTTCTAGAACTACGCATCTGGAATCAGACTGTCGTCAGGACCCAGCTCCTTCCAAAGCCTCGGGGTGGGAGTGAAGAAGTGGGGAGCTCATTCTTCTCTCTTCCCGATTCTAGTAGCCACCAAGGACGCCTTGTACTGTAGAAATAAAACTAGTCTGTGTTTCTGTCTTCATATGACCACCTGCCTGTGTATGTTTGTATCCAAAGTGTACTCTTCCTACAAAGGTGCCAGTCACGTTTCAGGAACTGTTTTAAAGGTTAACTGGGAGGCCATTAGCTAAGATAGCTGCCCCATGCTTCTGGTGTACTGTCAGTGAATGGAAACAACATATTGTAAGAGATAAAAATGAAACTTGCATCTAACCAATCAGAAATGGCTGGCTAACCTCTTCTAGTGACCCTAAAGCCACAGCCCCCCTTAACCTATGAGATACCTTCTCTCTCTTGCTTTTCCTCACTCCCCTCATTGCCTGTAATTTGGTGTTGTCCAATTCACGGATAACTGTTCAAATAAACTTTTTAAGATGTTAATGTGCCTAAGTATGTTAATATATTGGAAATCATGAAAAGCTGAGCTTCCCATTTTCTGCACAATTCACACAGCAGCCGCAGAATGAAAATCATAAATAGGATCCAAAAAGGTTGTCTTTGAGCAAGCCTACACTATTCCAATGTAATCTCATTGTGATGAACTCCACCGAGTCAGAACTTACTCTATGCTGTTCGGAGTCAGGATGTTCACTTGTCTAAAGTGTGGGACAGAATTCACCCATAACAGGCTCTATTTTTCCATCTATCTCACTTATTTTTTAAAAAATTAAGAAACAATGAGCACACTGTGATGTTTGTTATAGTCCTCCATCTTTACTCTTCACAAAACCTTTTCTACTGTGAAAACCCTGGCAAGCAGATCGGGTGACTTGTGTGGTATAGCACAGCTCATAAACACCAACTCAAAGACTAAACACAAGTTTCTGCCATCGTAATATCATGCACATGTAGTTACTGACCAGACTAGCACAGTATACAAGTGACAAGTGTCATCTCAAGGGGAAAAGTGCTCATGTAATAATAGAGCGGTATCAGGCTGGAACAAGTTCTTAATTTGTCACCTGCAGGGACATCATCACAAGAAGAACAGCACTAAAGCAAACTTTTATAAGAACCAAAAGTCTGAAAGTTTAGTTAAAGTCAAATGCTTGAAGTTCTACAATTGGTTTGATTGTTTCTATTTTTGTTTGGCTTATAACATTTTTTATTTCAATATTCTGCCTTCTGGTTATTACAGTTTCATATTAGAAAATATGTGACATGGTGTAATGATATAGTCTCCTTGAAAACATGAACAAATGCGTGGATTATGAAAAAGCAAAGTAATCAAACACAGATATATCTCTGTGTTCATGTGTTTGTATGGACCACAGGTCAACTCTGGGGTGTGGTTCTCCAGAGACATCACCTTGTTCTTGTTCTTGTGTGTTTTTTTGTTTTATTTGGTTTGGTTTGGTTTTTTGTGTTTTTTATTTGTTTGTTTTTTGTTTTTGAGGCAGAGTGTCTCTCTGGGACCTAAGGCTCACCAGTTATACCAGGTTGGCTAGCCAGAAAACTCTGGGGATCAGCCTGTCTCCACTTCCCCAGCACTGACACAAATGGCATTTCACGTGGGGGCTAGGATCAAACTCAGGGCCTCACGCTTGAGCAGCAAGCAAATTCTTGACCGAGCTATCTCCCTACCCTGCAAAAGACAGCCTTAAATGAACTCAACATTACTAATTAATTCGTGTTGGGACAAAGTATCAAATAGCTCCACAAGTGTTAGAAAGTTCTCACCCAGCTACTCTGTTTTAAAAGCCATTTGTGACTCATGTGCAAGAATCTGCCCTGTTGCAGTTACTTCCTAAACTTTTTGCTTGCCCTTCATATATCTGATGTGTGTGTGTCTGTGTATGTGTGTGTGTGTGTGTGTGATTTTATACTAAAGAGTTTCTCAACACATTAGAAGGCATGAAGAGCTGAATTTCTCATTTTCTATATGATTTACATATGGATAGCAAAGTTAAAATCATCAATGAAATCTATAAAATGTCGAAATTGAAGGACTGAACAGAGGACAGCTTTATTGCATTTCATGGATATTACTTCATAATCTATATAAATTATATCATAAGTCATGAAAAAAGCTCTGTGGAGACTAGAAAGGATACAGATCTGCACAGAGTTGGGTCTGGGGCAGGGGATGGAAGGAGCAGGAGGCTGGAGATGTCTACACTCTCACAACTAAAGGGCTCAAGCAAATCTTTGAACACCTACCTAGACCTGCATAGATAAACCATGAAAGGAGCATTGGCCAGCACTTTCACTTCTCAATAACAATGAAAACAGTGTGAGTTCAAAGCCACTCAGTCCTTCAAGAGGCACATGAACGCAGAGTTCATTTCTAGTTGGCCTAAAAGATAAGTATTTGCAGTTAATGACAATAAGCACATTCATTCCCTGTGTGAGCTCAAGGAGCACTGGATTTTGTCTGCAATGTACACAGATTTTTATAGCCATACATGCATTTTGTAGGACATTTCTAGATGAAGAAAGTTCCTAGCTCTAATGTATAACCAACTCTAGAAATCCACAGTAAAAATTGACCAGAAGGGTGAATGTGGCCAGGCATTCTGCCCTTCAAATTTGTATTATTCTTCCAAGTCTTATCCTTTATGTTATTGAGAATAATTTTGCTATTTCAAAAATAACTTTAAATTGATAGATCTTTATTTTTTTAAAAAAAAAAGGTGACACTATAAAAGGATGTCATCAAAAATTATATGTTTTAAAAAGCACATACCTGACTTTATTCAAAACAAGATGAGCTGGCACATTCAATTAGGACAGAAAATGAAATTCTTGGTGTCTTGAAAACTAAAGTCCACTTTCAAATTACTGTAAGATTATCAGCAATGCAGGCAAAGAGAAGAAATACCAATATAAGCCAAACTTTATTTTTTTAGTTTTAAAATTATTTCTTTATTTTTTGAGATCATAATTTATAATATTTTCTCCTTCCCTTTTCTCTCTCTAGATCTTTCCATATAGCCTTCATTTCTCACTCTCAAATTCATGACCTCTTTTTTTTAGTAATTGTTGTTACAAACACACACACACACACACACACACACACACACACACCCCTAATTACATAAGTACAACCTGACAAGTCTGTATAATGTTACTTGTACATGTTTTTCAGGGCTGACCATTTGGTGTTGTATAACCAATCAGTGTGCTCCTCCCGGGGGAAGACTATTTCTCCCACTCTCAGTGTCCCTTGGTTTCCTGGTGTTCCTTGTGTAGAGTTGAGGCCTGATGAGCTTTCCCTATTCACGTAAGCATGTCTATTGTTTAAGCTTTATTTTTAAATGGAACTTAAGTCATTGTTACATCATTATAAGACAGAATAGACCAAACTCCAGAAATGTGGTATTTTCCAGTCTCAAAACTCTCCTTACTGCCATAGAGGAAAGGCTTTTTTTTTTTTAATCAATCGTATGACCAGTTTGCAATAAATTTTACTTAGAATTAGACGTGACTTAATTTACCATGACTTCTGCATCTCCAGAAACCCAGTAGGAGCTTAGCTATTAAGATGAACTCAAGCATATAGCTCTTTTGTTAACCATTAATGGCCCCATTCCACCAAAACCTAATTCCCACAGCTGCCAACTACAGCACTTCACTTGTCTCTGGGATGTGAGTGCTGCAGCCTGATTGAGTCAAAAGCACTGTAACTCACCTTCAGCTAGCAACAGTCACACAGAATGGAGCCCATAGCCCTCTGACAGGCAGATCAAATGCACTGACCCAGTATAACGGCACCAGAAGAATTATTCACGAGTGCTGATAGGTCGACAGGTTACCAGACATAAGCCTTACATGATCACTAAGAGGTATGAAAACAAACCAGTCTCCTCAAATCCTCCCAACCTATTAAACTAATTGTGGTGATATTTTGTTTGTGCTCTGACAAATAAAACTTGCCTGGAGATCAGAGTGCAGAGCTAGCCACTAGTTAACCGTAGAAGCCAGGCAGTGGTATATACCTTTAATCCCAGCACTTGGGATCTCACGCTTTTGATCCCGGTACTTGAGAAGCACATGTCTTTAATTCCAGCACTAGGGAGGAGAAAACAGGAAGTAATATGGCTGGGCAGAAAGAGGAAGTGATAAGGTGGGGCATAACAGTCAGCCCCCTTCCAGGCAGAGGAGTTGGCGAGGTAAGAGGTGGTCGTGGCTTGCTCCTTTGTCTCTCTGATCTTTCAGTGTTTACCCCAATATCTGACTCTGGGTTTTTATTACTAAGACCAATTAGAATTCACACTACAACTAGCCAAACACAAACACGATGAAAAAGAAATTCTGCTCACATTCATCTGATGTCTTGGTGTGTTGGAGATTTTACAGGGATTATTATTTGCTCATAACAAGATGGAAAATAGGGGTGAGGGATTTAGCTCAGTGGTAGAGAGCTTACCTAGCAAGCACAAGGCCCTGGATTTGGTCCTCAGTTCTGGGGGAAAAAAAGATGGAAAATAGGGACTTACTATTATCTACTTTGTGAATTAAATTCCTGAAGGTCAGCAGAGTGAAATAACTTCAGCATCACACAATCATGACAGAGTTTTGAACCAGTTCAACTCCAGACCTTATGTTTACGAACACGGAAAGATCTCATTATATTTTTGGAGGAAAAAACTCAAAAGAACAGTAATATTCTTTCTGTGAAATCTATTTGTACATAAATGTCCACAACTATCTATTAAAGATTTAAGATGAAGTAATCAGGCATTTACAAGATCACTCTGGAGGATACAGTTACAAAATGGTTCCTTTTTTGTACTAAAAACAGAGTTAACATTATCAGAGGAGATGATACTTTAACAAAACTGGAGAAAAGAGAAACACTGAAAGCCTAGAGGAAAAACTATGAGATAACTATTAAATGTGACACTACCTCTGAGTCCTATAGCTACATTTAAAATGGGTCATTGTATTGTCGTAGTTCTTGGGCTGCTGTACAAAATACCACAAGCTGAGGAATTGGCTTCTTAAAATAACAGAAATCTGTTTCTGCAGTTCTTGGGGTTGCAAAGTCCCAAAATCAAGGCACTGGCAGATCTGGTGTCCATCGAGGCCCCACTCCTTCATTCATACATGGTGTCGTCACTGTGCCCTTGACAGTGGACAGAGCAAGGCAGCTTTCCAGGGACTCTTTCGTAAGGTCACTAATGGTTCATGACTTAGTTACACACACACACACACACACACACACACACACACACACACACACACACACACAAAGGCTCCATCATCTATTACCATCACTTTGGGATTTGGGACTTCCACCTATGAATTTTGAAGAGATACAAATATTTGGGTTACACCTAACTGTTGGAGAATGAAATATTTCTGAAGGGACACTTTATTAATTTCTTCAATAAGTGTCAACGTTTTTACAGTGCACAACATAAAACATATTTATTATTAGACTAGGCATGCTAGAAATAGATTCCATTCATCATTTCTGAGCAAGAATGATCATGAACTCTGACCCTCCTCTTCATATGCCAGGAAATCATATGTTCCCATACCTGTATCTCTCTAAAGCATAGTACTGAGTCAGTCAGCGTGCAAGAAAGGGGTTTGTAAATCTTCCCATGACCTGCTGAGTACAGGCTTTCTTCCTGAAACCTCTGTCCTTTTAACCTATTGAAATTCATATTATCATCATGTAGTATAACTCATTCCTATTTTAATAATTCTTTACACACCATTGTGTAGCTACAATAACTTACTAAAACGTAATATGGAATTAAAAGTCAAGCACCCAGTATTTTTGTGTGGTGCTGACTTGGTTATGCTCATCTTTCTCTTTTCATCATTAGCCTAGTGTTTAACAACCTGAGCCATCTTTTCAGCCCTATGCTAATCTTTTATACATGTGTGTACATCCATCCATATTTATGACTTGGGGAATGTTGGGATTTGTTGTTGTTTTGTTTTACTCAGCTGTTGCCTCTCAGGGTGGGAATTCGGTGGCTCGTCATTGGCCCATTGTGCCTTCTATAGGAGCTGTGAATGTAGGGCATCTAGCTGGGGATCAGTAATTCATGAGAAAGGGTCAGAGGTCCAAGTCATTCAACAACAATCACTGGAAAAAGTCAGAAAAGAAAGAATCAAGGGTTCAGTCATCTGTAGAATCCAATTGGTCACGTTAGCAAAGCGCAAACCTGTACTACAAGAGATGTCTTGAAAGGGTAGGATCATGGCTCATACTACTCCAAAACATGTAGTAAGATCTCACTTCCCTCATTCATTAAAAAGAGAATCTGTAAGATGTCGAGAACAATAAGTGAATGCGAATACGCACATACATTGGCAATGTCGAAATGAATTTGCTAAGAGATACAAAAATGGCAAGTGTTGAAGGGGAATTGCTGTTTGGAGTCATCTTGGAAGGAAGGAGTGGTGTGGGGAGGGCATCACATGCGTTGCTAACCCACCTGACAAGGTTTATTTTTATCTCCTTGAACAGGGACCATTTGATTGACTAGAGACTCGATCTATCTCTATCATTCAGTAATCTTTATACCTATTTACAAATATTGTACATTTCCCACTACTATGATCTGTGTGTCCCCACTCTAGACTGACCCAAACCATCTAAATCCTCTGTGTTTATACTCTTGTATTTTAAGGGAATGGACAGAGAAGCAAAGGCTTTGCGCATGCTAAGTAAGTATCCCCTGCTGAGCTAGATCTACACCTCTCTTTTACTTTTTGAGATAGGATCTCACTTAGTTTCCCCAGGCAGGGTTTGAACCTTTAATCCTCTTGCCTTTGCCCCTTCAGTAGCTAGAAACATAGGCCAGCACACCAAGTCTAGCTATGCTATTTTTTATTTCCGATTTAATATCTAAGCCATGGCCGCTAAGCCACAGGACATCCTGTCCTTGCCCTGATATAATTAACAACTCTCCTTTCTTCAACTCCCTAGACTGCTGCACTAAGAGAATATGCTGAATTTAACAGCCTGTTCTTGAGGGTTGGGGACTTACAGAGGAATTATAACATATGCAATAAGCTTCTAGAGTCCTCAAGTGTTATCCGGCTGTTTCCGTCCACAGGAGTTTCTCCCTGACTGTTTTCCCTGCAGATCTCACACAGATGTCTCCCCCAAAGCTCTTCCACTCCAGCTCCACCCCCCAGCAGCTCCTTCGCATCCTATTTCCAGCGACTCCACAAATTCAGGCCCATTCAGAGGATGCTGAAATGCAATGAGCACTCTAAACCCTCTCGATCAAGCCCCTTCCATTAAGGGCCGACAGGCTTGTGGCCAAGGGACTTGACTTCCCTACGTTAAAAGAGGCTTTGACATGTTTTTCTAGGGAGTTCAGCCATTGAGCCTGGATTTCCAACCTCATCAGGAGTATAACTGGCGAGAGCTTTGAAGTACTTCCTGAACATGATTCCAGACCGAATTCCTAGCTGGCGCTCCATTCACTACACAAATACAGGAGAAGGATTTAGTCAACTGTACGTTTCCCCATTGCTGAGCAATGCTAATCCTTCTCTTTTCCTGTATTGCCATATGCAAAATCCATAAATTGCATTCCAAAAACCGTCCTAGTGTAGAGGCAAAATATATTATTAACATATGTTATTTAATCACCAGTTTAGAAACATATTTTCTATGAGTATTTCTAGAAGCTACAATAACAGACTTCAGGACTTTCAGGTTTCATTTTTATTTTTAATGGGGGAGTGCGCGCGCATGCGCATGCCCGTGCCCGCGTGTGTACATGGGTGCACACTTCTGCCTGTACCTGCAGAGGCCAGAAGAGGGTACTGGATTCCCTAGAGCAGCGTTACAGTTGGTTGTGAGGCCATCTGACATGGGTGCTGGGAAGCTAACAGAGGTTCTCTGTGAGAGCAGTCCATACTCTCAGCCACCTCTGCCCAGCCCCACTTCAGAATGCCAGAGGTGGCTTTGTGGGTGTGGATCTGAGTTCAGAGAGCACTCGCTTCAATTTCCAGCTTCCTTTGTCACAGGACAAATGCCTGCATCAGGGACACAGAGTAGGGTAGCTGAAAAAAATAGAGGCAGTTTATAAGGGAAAGCCCTCCTCAGAAAGAGAAGGCTGGTAAGACAGGCGAAGACATCCGCTCCGAAGTACGGGGCCATGGTGCGTGAGACTCTCTATAGGCTGTTACATAGCGCTCGCCTCTCTGACTGAGCGGCTTCTCTTGTGACTGTGCTCTGTGCTGCCTCGCATTTGGTCCAGGTGGGAAGGGAGGGTTTCCAGTCCTCTGCCAAGTGGCCTCTTGCATATGTTAATCCTGTGCTTCTATCTATCTATCTATCTATCTATC